CGGTTTTTTAGGCAATGCATTTATTTTGTCAGAACTGTGTTTTCTCAACATTTTATCACTCTTTCTGCGTCGTTCCTACTCACACCGTTGCGACGATTATTTTTTGTGAACTTTTTGGTTTTTCTCATCGTAAGGAATGTTCTAGCAAGATTTTTCGATGTTATTAATGTTTTTTGCGTAGTGTGCTCATCCAGCGTGATCCATTGCTTCCATAATATATTGTTTATTAATATAGTTTCTGCTGCGCTGTGGATTATTTCCTGCTTTTAGCTATACTTTCCGCCTTTCACATATCGTTTCTACAACTGTTGCCTATGTTTCTTAGTTCCTCAGGTGCTGCATAATTTTTATGTCTTTCTGAATTGTATGATTGCCTGACAGTTTGCATTATTGTTGTACTCTATCATTTGTTTACCATAAGTATTCTGCATAGAGTTTTATGTCCATTTATGCGTTGTATTTTGTTGTTGCGTTCACACTGTGAATATGTGATAATTATTGTACACATATTAACATTTTCGACTTTGAAATGATTACGCTATCGCTTTCTGTTTGTTTGGCATTTAAGATAAAACTAGTATCAAGTATGTATTTTTGATCTTTTGTATCATCATGAATTGCAAGTATATTTCAAATGAACATTCGGTTCACACTCTTGTCGCAGTTTTAATCGAACATTCCACAATAATGAAATATAAATATGCAAAAGACCCGGTTTAATTCATGAAATATTTTTAAATCTAACTTCAGACCAATGATTCATTTCCATCGTAACATCTCTTGAGGATTTAATTGAAATAATGGAAATAGTTTATTTCATTTTTTAGCCTCTGTCGCTGCACTAGCTTTACAACGGGCACTATAGCCGTTTCAAGCTATTGCCAGTAGAGAAATATGGATAGCGACAACTGAGGAGTTAACATTGTCGATCTGTCAGGAACAAAACTGTAACAGTACATGTGGTAGTTAATCAGAATTCACGGCATTCGGTTTCGGCACATGAACTGAGTCATCAGAACTCATGAAATTCGGTACGAGCACAGGTGGTTGATCAGAATGCACGAAAATCGGTTTGCAGTATTTATATGGCATCGTGACAATGCGAGAATTCCAACATTATTATGATATTGTTAAACACGGTGACGGTGTGATTGGCTCATTTCAATCAATTTACGGGACCGAAAATGTTTGTTTGTCAAGCGCTAGTTTGGATGGCTATTGCAGTAATATGGACGAAAAAGATTTTACTCTATTGGGAGAATTCATAACAGGCATAACGTAGGTATATCTCTAATTTATTTATGAATTAAGCATTAAGTTCAGAGTTGAGCAGGCTCAGCAGCTGCAGGTATCGCTGCCCAAAACTCTACAACTGCTTCACGGTCCATAGAGTGGGATGGATGAAAGTTGTGAAGAAGAAGCTATGAAGTGTCATATTCATCATGTCGTCTAATTTGTCCAACATATTGCTAAGCCCCTTTTTGCATGAAGTGGAAGCTTTCGACACCACGAGAGTTACGCTGCATATTAAAGGTGAACCATAAAACGAACAAAGAGTTCCTGAACTGTCACATTTCAAATGCTGATACCTGATTTACAGAACGATAGCGTACCGTGCAAACAAAGAAAAACTTTTCCCCACTTTACACTGTGGTAGTATAGGACAGGTAGAGATCTTTACACCGGGTTGTATCGCAATACTGCACCACCCCATTGCTTCTAGTAGACCCAGGGGGACAATTTAAACAGGCTGCGGCTCCATGGTATGTAAGCGCCTATAATACACAAGACGAACGACCTCGTCACTGAGCTTGGATGAATGTGAATTTTTCGGACAGTAGTCTATATAACTTGAAGACAGAGAGGGTGCGATGTCATCACGGCCTAAAGATGAAAAAGGGCCACTAGTTTTCCGTATTCGCTGATATATGTTCATCAACTTCATTTGTGAAATCGGTTAAATCGTATCCTTGGTCAGAGACGGCAAAGATGGCTGATTGTATCATCAGCATACATAACACATATTGTTTCTGTGCTAGTGCGCCAAATAATTGTATTCAAGGCAACCTCAACAGGAGAGAGTCAGGACCCTGTGCACGCAAAGTCTATAAGGCAGTAGGGCCGTCCCAAACCAAACTTACTTCCACTGTCTCGTGTACTACTTATCACGTATGCATATGATGACGTCATCTAATTAGATATTTGGCAAGAGACTGAACGATGTGAGGATTAATGTAAGTGGATGCCGATGCCTCAAGCAATCTAACAATGGAACAAAGCTATGTGTAGGACGGAAATCAAAATTGGTGGCACGTACGGAACTTCAGTTTGCACAATAACCTTAGAATACGTAATCAATTGGGGTCATAAGTAAGTGTCACAAGTTTGAGTACTACAATTCTTGAAGGACAGCTTAGAAACCACGTGCACAGTGCCCCTATGAAAATAAATGACATAAATAGCACAACGATCTCCTATACTCGTCAGTGTTAACTGCGAAAAATATTGCATAGGGCGACGATGACAGTGTGACGCAGGCATCGCGTATGCCATTATATATACATGTATTATACATGTATATGACGTCATGGCAGATAGGAAGAATAACCAGCGTCAGCATTTCCCGTTATTTGGGGCATATGAGTCCAGAGCGTTCGAAATGACTGATGACATGACGATTGCGCATGGACGTCTTCTGCACTCCATTTTAAACTGTCACTTAATTTCGTTTATCATGGTATATTTCGTTGAGTTTAATATTGTTCTTTTATCTGTTAAGCAGTAGAAGCTTCCATGGCAATATTACTCATGCAGTAAACTTTCAAGCACTGTCTTTCAATCATTCGATCATAGTAATAAGTATATGCATGTTGCCATTCGGATAACATATCACGATCTATTGCACCGATGCCCGCTGTCGGGTAGGAGCCACTGTCTCAAGGACCTGCATAGGGTATAAAGTACCTCCAAGCGATAGCTGGTATACACCATGTTTCCTGGTGCTCGGCAAATGCTTCACCGCTAGTTTCAGCCATGGAGTATAAGCAACTATGTCTGAGAACACCACAGTGTCGCCTAACGTAGAATCGCTCGCAGTCCAACGAACGATGCCCCGTAAAACTTTGTTGCGAACCACTGGCCCACCAGCATCCTCCTGAAAGGAGAAAGAACATTTAGTTGTCAGACGTATAAATACTTCTTTATCAAAATTAAAGGTCGTACATGGTGAACTTTCACCAGATGATCTTTCGGATAGCCGCAATTTTCATGTTTAGGATCAAAGTTGTTTCCCTGGCGGAACCTCTCACTACATTCTTTTGAGGAGTTCACGACGTAAATTGCTGATCGAGGAAGCCGTCTTGTTTTGCCATCGAAGCCTGAAAACAATAT